CACAGAGCCCATGTTGAAAGCAAGCTCTGGCACAAGACTAGCCACATTAGCACAAAGTGGGACTTAAGCAAGTCAGCTGTGCCAAGAGTAAAGAGTTACTAGTTTGGATGCACTGCTCTGCTCATTTGGCTTTTGGGAGCCAGACTGGAGCTCTGCGTGGTCCTACTCCTCTGGATGGCCCCAAGATGGGTGCCCTGCAGCACAGACATTGAGCTAACCCTGACTCTGAAGCAGGACCTGCAGTCCCTCCTGAGCTTCAGTTCTACTGAACTCAAGGAGACCTGGATTTCACTAACAGTGCCATGGAAAACCAGCAGAATGTCTCATCTCACAGGGTGTTTCTAGGCTCAATACAGCTAGATGCCTCAGTTTACAAACAACTAGTTGTTTGACAGAGCAGCTTCCAAGTTAAGGAAACCAGATGATGACTCACAAGATTAACTCCAATCCCATACTCCAAAAGGAAATCTCGGATGTTACAGAGTGTATGTAGCAACAATTATCTTGGAAGAAGTCAGAAGCAATAATAATAATGTGTGGGCACTATGGTTATGTAGTCCATTCTAACTTTGACATTCCTGGCTCTGCAGGAGTTGGGGGATTTCTTCCAAGCAATTTTAACTGTTACTTCACAAAATACAGGACTATGAGCCTTGTTCACTTTCTAGAGTTAATAATGGAATAAATAAATTGGAGAAATGTCACTGACTATTTGAACACATCCTCTTTTGAATCTCACATTTTTTAGATTTTCTAAAACAAAATGCGCCTTAAAAAAAAAAAAAGGCAAGAAAAGGAAAAGTAGCATCTTCATTCTTCTAAAACTGATCCAATTGAAAGGATATGGGCTGGTCTCTTAATGCCACATCCCATTTAGAAGCAACTTTAACAGTTAAAAAAAAATAAAGACAACTTAAAATTGAGTTTTGAGACTTGCAGTTATTTTTCATTTCCATTATAAAGGTTTTTGCCCAGGTTTACTACAATGTAATGAACAGATTTATAAGAAGTTCCTCACAGCCCTAGATTTTATTGTTAACTGTTAAGAAAAAAATTATGGCTATTAAAAAAAGTAAAATAAAAACAATATTAAAACATGGTGGGTACTATATACATACATAACAAAGCAGTTTAACACTATTGTACTTGCAAAGCATTTCTATTGTAACAAGAAAAGCACACTTTAATATATAGCAAATAGAAATTCTGATTTCAACCTCAAATAGTCACTTTATATTTACCATAAAAATACTAAATAAGATTTTTTAAAAAGCAATCCTCAAGTACAGATGTAATCTCTGATAAATTAACTGCACTGAAAACACAACTTTTGGAAGCAACTTTAAACCACAGAAAGGGCAAATTATTTCTGATGCAAACTCTTCAGCCAGCAGAAACAGACTGGCTTCCTAATCTCCAGGTTGCTTCTGAACATCTGTACACTCCCTCAATCTTAGTTCTTGTTTATTTTTTTCATTCCTGTATCTTTGGTGAATACATGCTAAAACCTCCTGTCTTCAGCATATCTATCACAGCTATCAGCTATCACAGCTTCAGTTCACAATCCTGTGAAAGATTTTTTCAGTGAAAAAGGGCAATGTCACAGCAGCATGTCCAGTTTAGAAACTCATCCCCAGGACTTCCTACAGTGCTCTCTACAGCACAAATGCAGTAAGCATATGGACCTTTCATACTAATGACACTGACATGAAAGCACTTTAGAGTTAAACTGTACATCTGGAGAGGGGGATTATTGTGATCTAATTGTGGTCCATAAAAAAAAAAAAAAAAAAAAAAAAAAAGGATCAGGACTTGATCGCAGCTTTCTTTACATAATGTGCATTGACAATGCAAACCAGCCTTCTTCTTTTTGCTTCTCCACCTGCAAAAGAAGAAACCAGCTGAAATTCATACATCAGAAATTTCCCACAGATGTGCTAGTTAGTGCTAGCTTGTGTAGGACTGCTATGATTCAGTTCACTGATACGCAGCAGTTGTCTCCCATTGGCACCATAAAGGCAGTCACACCACCTACTTCAGACAGCTAGTTTAAGCATCTACCTTAAGTATTTCTAATTTCCCCTTGAGGATGTACACTTCAGAATAGGGAGCTCTGGACCCCAATTTTGTTTCTCTTTATCACTCCTAATTTAGGTTATTTCAAGCACAGAAACTTGCTTTGTTGCTTTCAAGCATAAAAACAGATCTATGACTGGTTTACCAGGCTGTACAGCTGCCTGAAGGTCCCCATGAAAGCATCTCACTGTAGTCTGTTCTTCTCTTTGCACATCAGGAATTAGAAATCCAGCCTGGTGATTTGTCTTTGCATTTGGTTTGATTTCTCCTTCAGCAACTGACTTGTGCAACAGCTAGGTAAGAGCTCGCTTGCCTCTCATAGGTGGCTCTACCAGTACATCATCAGGGTTACATGAAATTCTCAGAGCCACTATGAAATACTGCCAGAGGTTTCCAGTGCTAACACACAAGGATGTCAGAGCAGGAAGTGTAGTTACAGGATTATTAATCTGTAAGTAACAGCTTTGTCACTAGCACTCCCCCTACCAATTGTCTAGAATCCAAACTGCCATGAATCAACTACAATTGGCCTCTGTAGACTTGAGGTAGGACAGAGCTCTCTCTTGTTTCTCAGTCTTAATTTTTCTTTATATGGCACCACAGTCAAACTTTCTGGCTGAAGATCTTTCAGCCTTACCTTTGGTCTTTGGCTGGCAGGAGTTAATGTCACACTTTCTGACGTGGCACTTAGGGATGAACTAGGCTTGCTAGAATCTCCTACACACCTGCAGACATTCAAAATGAGATGGAAAAAGTGAAAAACAGCAGTGACTACTAGAATAATGTTTTGCATCCTGAGTTAGGACCCCTCATAAATAGTCTTCAACAACATATGTAACCTGTTTTATGTCACATTGCAGGTATTTTAAATACAAACAATGGAAGTTGTGACAGGACTCTGTGCCATTTCCACAGAGATAAGTATAATGGAATTAGGGAAAGTTTGTGAAGCCAAATAAAAAGTTGAGAATATTTTCATTGTGAACAATTTCTGCTGCATAGACAATTGAGATATTATAAAAATGAAACAATAAAGGGTTAACTTTTACCTTCTGATACTGCTCATACTGGCAGAGGAAACACTGTCTTCTTTGGAGCTGTCCATAGACACTGCCACAGGAAAAGATACTTCAATTGTCCTCCTTGCATTTTCTAGGCAAAAAATAATAATCAGTAATTCTGAGGAGAACACAACATCATTTTAAAACTTTAAATTTAATTTTCCTGTTTTTGGAGGGCCACTGCATAACTCTTCACAATTGCATATAATATATAGATCAGACTCAAAGCATCAGGCTAAACATGAACCCCATACCCTGGAAACAGGCTCAGAGACTTCTGATTTCTTTGCTTTGTTCCTTTAAGATTTTACTTACTGTGCTGAATTTATGCTACAACATGTAAAGGAAAATAGGCCTTTTTGAGAATTTAAGGTTACTTAAGAATTAGAAAACAAGATGTTGAATGTATGATTAATAGAATGCAGGTGTTGTAGAATAACGTGAGACTCGGAAGCTGCTTTTTATTGCCTTTTGTATAGCCCTTACCATGGCTGGTTTAAAAGCCAATCCAACTGAATAAACAGAAAATTAATTGTGTCATAATCTTAGAACATTATAATAAACAAGAAACAAGTGATTAACTTCAAATAAACATTTGTTAAAGGCTAAGGCATAGGTTAATAGAATAACTGGAGTTCTTCTTAGAATTTCAGAGGTGGGTGACAAAGAAAGTACGTGATGGCGGTGACCAAAGCATGCTTTGATGAACTCATGCAGCAGTAGAGTGTAACAAGACAATGAAATGCTGAATCTTGGCTTTTGTGGATTTTTGAAAAATGATGGAGAATTAAGGAACTGAGGGTTCATGGAAAAACTCCAAGAGCTCTTAAGAAGAAATCCAATTACATAGCGCATAACAAGAGTACATACAGTAGTATTTTGCCACTCACAGAGGTGATGGCCTGACTCTGAGTTGTCAATAAAGGAAACCTAGAGTTACCCCACTGACTAGTGAAAATCCTTTAACAAACAGCCACAGAAGTGTTAAAAGTGTTACAATCCCACTGCATGAGTCATTGCATATGCACCTGCATGCATATGTATGCACATGTGATCTCTCCTCCCCCTCAAGTCCTCCCTTTTTACATCCTCTGAGGTTTAGGAAGGAGGAAAGGGTGGGTGTCCTAGGCAGAACTTGGGTAAACACGCACAGTTCTGCCAGTAATTGCAATAATCCCATGAAAAAATAAAGCAGCCCTCACCTGCTAGAGAGTAATTTTGTTCATAGTTACACATGGCAGCTAATCTATGGATCCTGGACAAACAAAACTATTCCTATTGTTAATTTATCTCTTCAAATGACTGGAAGCTTCAAGTATTTATTTGCTCTGGCAGTAACTCAGCAAGATAGCCTAATGGAAAGAGCACCCAAAAGACCAAAAACTAAAACGTGGTTGAGAACTGGAAAACCACTGTGCTGTAATTTCTAGAAGTCTGATGTAAATATCTAGTCTTTTCATAAAAAATTATCCAGCAGAGAGGACTGATTAAATAGCCTAGTTCTGCCCATCAGTGACTATGTAGCAGAATGGTTCTGCAGATAATGACATAACAGAGATGACAGAATCACAGAACCCCACTCTTTCTAATGCACCCCAGGATGCCATTGGCCTTCTTGGCCACAAAGGCACATTGCTGGCTCATGGTCATCCTCCTGTCCACCAGGGCCCCCAGGTCCCTTTCTCCTACACTGCTCTCCAGCAGCTCAGCCCCCAACCTGTACTGGTACATGGGGTTGTTCTTCCCCAGATGCAAGACTCTACACTTGCCCTTGTTGAACTTCATCAGGTTTCTCCCTGCCCAACTCTCCAGCCTGTCCAGGTCTCTCTGAATGGCAGCACAGACTTCTGGTGTGTCAGCCACTCCTCCCAGTTTAGTGTCATCAGCAAACTTGCTGAGTGCACACTCTGTTCCCTCATCCAGGTCGTTGATGAAGATATTGAACAGCACTGGTCCCAGTACCGACCCCTGAGGGACTCCACTACTCACAGACCTCCAACTAGGTTCTGTCCCATTGACCACAACTCTCTGACTTCCTCCTTTCAACCACTTCACGATCCACCTCGCTACCTGTCCATTAAGAGCACACTTCCTCAGTTTATCTATGAGGATGTTGTGGGAGATGTTTACGGTGAAGCACACTATTTGCAGCAGACTAGTAACTATGAAACTAACTTTAGGAGAAGCTTAGCTGATACACTTTTAGCTCTCTAAAGTAAGGAGCGTTTGTAGCACACAGTCCTTAACAGCAAACGTACTGCGGGTTGCAGCTGCTGATCCAACCAGGCAAGGGCAGAGGACTCTCAAAAGGGGAAAAAACATTGTGTTCCTATTTTTTGTTTCTCCTGAAGCTGGATACTTACCGGTGTTATTTAGGGATGGGGGCAGAGCAGGAGGTCTTGTTGGAGGGACCACATCAGCAGCAGCTAATTTCTGCTGGTCTATCAGCTGCAGCAGTTTATCACGTGCTTCCGTGCTCTGGCGATTCAGCTCTACTATTCTCTCCTCCAAGCTCTTCGATACCATAAGAGGAGTCTGCTTAGGTAATTGTATAATTACTTCCAATTAAAAGCATGCAATGTATCTCAAGTACTTCCATGCAATTCATTTTCAAAATGAAAATAAATAAGATTACACAGCACCTGCCGTGAAACATCTGATTTTGTCTCTTTTGCTGTCCTGTATCTAGGTCCTTAACTGGCCTAACAAACAATATTTAATTGGTCTTCCTACAAACAGGAAAAAACAGCTACTGTTTCTCTCATTAAAAAAAAGCAAGACAACCCACCATAAAAACCCCAACTGTCCAACATTTAACTGTAATTAAGAAAATATTTAATCAGAAAGACACACATTCAGGATGGTGTGGGGAAACAAAAGCATATTTCTAGCAGAAGTATCCAGGAACTCATCCTTAAACCAGGTTTTTATCCACTTTACCTCTTCCCCCCCCACCACTCCAGCAACTGCTTCCACAAAAGTAACACTTTTAAAACAACTTTTTTTAAAAAAAGTTTGCATCATCTTGTACAGCTAAATGACTAAACATTACACAACAAAATACAATGCGGGAAGTGACAACACAGCCTATATTTACATGAGGAGATTTAAAATCTTGGGGATCCTTTACTGAACAGTAATTTAGCCACTGTGATGGAACAAAAGGAAAGATAGTAGGGAGGGCAGGGATCAGGTGTTTCTGTGATGTTAACTCCACTCACTGGGGTGCCACTGAATAGCTGCTTAGTTGCAGAATAAAGGTTTTCAATGTGAATAGAAGCCTTCAAGTACTCGCTTTCTCAAAGATTTTGGGATTTTCACCACACAGCAGGAGAAGACATGACAGACCTAACTAATACATACACTATAATCAAGTATTTGCAAGAGATGTACTTGAATCAACTTTAATCTCACTGGGTTGCCATAGCAGAAAGGATGCATGGCATGGATTTAAATATATATCTCACAAGCTTGACAAGAACCTGTGGGTAGGTGCAGTGCTCTCACTGTTTTTATTACTCAAGCTACAAGAGACATGCCTGATCATGTTGCAGTCACACCTCTCTCTCTGAAGGATAACCTTATCCTAAGTTTATACATGTGCTGCACACTTGGGGCTATTCAGCACCCATATGCAACATAGGCCAAATATGAGGAACTACTGTTGAGCTCCTTAGGGAATGATAAAAAAATCAAAGTCTCCAAGCAAATGAACAAAAATAGTATTTGTATTTCTACTCTTTTCCTTAAAATAAATGACAACAGGGAAACACAGCCTTAAAGCCTCAGTGGGCTATGGGAAAGCAGAAAGAGGCATCCAGCCTTACTTTTCTGTTAAATTCTCACCTGTCCTTGTGAGGAGTCTGGACTAGCATTTGCATTTCGTATTGGGTCTGGCTGGTGCAGGCAGTCACTTCTGTCTTCAGAGAAGCCTCCAAATCTGCTCAGTTGAGCCTTCATTAGTGAGTTCTGCCGTGTGAGCTCAGCAATCTGTCTCAGCAGATCACCATTTTGAAATAACTCTTCAGCTGTACTGTTTTTTCTCGTGTTACCTGGGCAGGACAGGCTGATTTTCTCATGGGAACTCTCCAAGTCTTTGTCTGCAGGACGAACTGATTGCCTTTGAGAAGTAAGACAATCTCCCTCAGTTGTGCTCTGTGCTAGCAGGGAAGGAGGTGAGCTCCTTTCCTTGTGTGGTTCTCTTTCCACGTTTTCAGGAGACTGAGAAATGGCTGTAAACACTACAAACAAACAAAGGAACAGTAAGGAAAGAGACATGCAATCCTCATCAAGGAAACCAACAATTACTTCATTGCATAAAACTAGTAATAATAAAGCAGTAACTTGAATTTTAACATCCAGTCTAAATGGTGTTATGTTACTGATCAAAATTGCTGTATGCAAGATCCTACTGCAAGAGCTCACCAGGTTTAATATTGTATGATCACAGAACGGTTTGGGTTGGAAGACATTTGAAAGATCAAGTTCCAACCCCTCTGCCTGGGCAGGGACACCTCCCACTAGACCAGGTTGCTCAAAGCCCCATCCAACCTGGCCTTGAACACTTCCAGAAATGAGGCATCCACAACTTCCCTAGGCAACCTGTGCCAGTGTCTCACCACCCTCACAATGAAGAATGTCTTCCCAATGTTTAAACTATATCTCCCCTCTTCCAGTTTAAAGCCATTACCCCTTGTCCTGTCATTACCTGCCCTTGCAAAAAGTCCCTCTCGAGCTTTCCTGTAGCCCCTTCAGGTACTGTAAGGCCACTATAAGGTCCCTCCCTGGAGCCTTCTTATCTCCAGGCTGAACACCCCCAACTCCCTCAGCCTGTCATCATAGCAGAGGTGCTTCAGCCCTCAGATCACTTTGTGGCCCTTCTCTGGACTCACTCCAAGAGCTCCATGTCCTTCCTGTGTTGAGAGCTCCAGAACTTGACACAGCACTCCAGATGGGGTCTCACAAGAGCTGAGTAGACGGGGAGAATCATCTCTGCTGAACTGCTGGCCATGCTGCTTTTGATGCAGCCCAGGACACTGCTGGCTTTCTGAGCTGGAAGCACATGTTGCCAGCTCATGTTGAGCTTCTCGTCACCCAACACTCCCAAGTCCTTCTCCTCAGTGCTGTTCTTAATCCATTTGCTATTTGAGCTTGCACTTGGCCTTATTGAACTTTGTGGGCCCACCTCTTAAACCTGTCAAACTCCCTCTGGATGGTCTCCCTTCCCTCCAGCATGTCTACCACACCACACAGCTTGGCGTCATCAGCACTGACTCTTTAAGAACCTCACTTGTCACTGGTGTCCGCTTGGACAATGAGCTGTTGAACATAACTCTGAGTGTAACCACCCAGCCAATTCCTTATCCACTGAGGGGTCCATCCATCAAATCCATTTATTTCCAACCTAAAGATCAGGATGTCATGTGGGGCAGTGTAACGCTTTGCACAAGTTCAGGTAGATGACATCAGTTGCTCTCTGCTTTTCCACCGATGCTGTGACCCCACCATAGGAGGCCACCAAGTTTGCCAGGCATGATTTGCCCTTGATGTTGCCATGCTGGTTGTCACTAACCACCTCCACTTTCTCCATGTGCCTTAGCAGAGCTTTCAGGAGGATCTCCTCCATGATCTTGCAGGGCACAGAGGTGAGACTGGCTTGTAGCTCCCTGGGTCTTCCTTCTTCCCTTTTTGAAAAATCAGGGTTACGTTTCCCCTTTTCCAGTCAGTGGGAACTTCACTAGATTGCCACAACTTCTCAAATATGATGGAAGTGGCTTTATAACTTCATCTGCCAATTCCCTCAGGAGCCACAGATGGGTCTCATCAGGACTTGTGCACTTGCAGGTTCTTTAGATGGTCTCAAACTTGTTCTTCTACAGTGGGCAGATCTTTCTTCTTGCAGTCCCTGCCTTTGCCTTCTGTAACTTGGGTGATGAGACCAGAGCCCTTGTGGGTGAAGAGTGAGGTAAAAAAAGTCATTGAGCACCTCAGCCTCCTCCATATCCCACATGACCAGGTCTCCTGTCTCCTGGAAAGGGCCCCCATTTTCCATAGCCTTTTATCCTTTTATGCATCAAACACTTTGCACAAATCCAGAGTGCGCAACTGGTGCCACATGTCAGTATTTCAGCTATAGGGTGACTTCTGTCTAGAAGGGCTTTTACCTCTGACAAGCAATGAGCCTGTCCTTTTGGGATTGATGCTGACCCATCCTGCTTTGCTGCTGCTGCCTGTTGAGATTCCTATGCTACCATATATTGACTGCTTAGTAAATGTCAAGGGGGGCTGAAGCCAGATTGAAACAGTGACACACTACACAGACTCTCAAATCTTTTACAACCAGAGATCTCACCATTCTGGAGGGGAGACAATTCCTGACTGCTCCTCTGCCGGGGAGGTGACAACAGCACAGCTGGCTGGAAGACATGAGACGGCAAGCTTCCACCAGCTCCCAAAGCACCTGACCTCTGGGGAAACTTGAAAGGAAGTTCTTCCTGTGGGAATTTCAGCATACCTTCCCCGTTGCCTGCATCAGCCCTAGGCTCAAAATAGCTCACATCAGGTTTTTCTAAAGAAAGAGATAAAGCAGAGAGAGAATTTTTGATTAAATTTTTTTAAAGCATAAAAAAAACCCCAGTTCTAGTGCAATAGGAAAAATTCTCAATACCACCTCTTATGTTCAGGTATCTGAGAAAACAGACTAGTGTATGTTCCTAGCATATGCTCTCCTCACACTGCTAACTTCCTCCTGAAGAACGCTTTCATGGGACAGCACAAGTTGTCATTGGCCTTAAAAGCAAGAAGAGCTCCTACATGTAGCCTCACGATTCCAGGATACTAGTAAGGGACCTTCTTGTAGCCCATGCACAAAGACTTACAGACATGTTACTTGTGAAGAATAGGTATTTCAGTGAGCTGCCTTTGCTAATATTCTCTTGACAAAAACAAACCTATGCACTTGTCCTATTGAATGTTATAAATTTGATGGCAAAAATGGTGGCGTGGAAAACAATTCAAAGCTTTTTTAAGCTCTCTGATAATTTCTTAATAACTTAATTTAAATCAAACATTGTTTCAGAAAAAAAAAAAGTTAATTCTTTTGTATTTAACTACAAGTAGCTTGTGCCTATGTTGCCAACTACTTTGAACATACCAGGAAGGCACAAAATGAATACCATGAAATCAAAGTTGTAGTTAACTGTGAGACCACAGTAATTTTAAGACGCTTCCATCTTCTACTACATCAGTGCTATCATTGAATTCTCCCTTCATAATTTTGTTCAGTACATTTGTTCCCAAAAGAGGCATTAATGGAAAATAAGCAGAACACACCTGATCTCAAAATGCAAGAGACTAAAAAACACCCTTGAAAGCCAAAGAGCCAGAAAAAGCTGTTCACATAAGATACTGCTTGTGGTTCACCCTACTGAGGTCCTGAGATTGAATTAAAAACCTGCCACCTGCTACCCAATGACTGTGGCAAGAAATGAAAAACATCTTTCTGCCTTGTTTCACTGTACAGAACTGCATTTCCAAAGCATCCTCCTCACACACTATTTGCCCTTATGACATGCCCCCTACTTCTTTCTCAGCCACTACTGTCACTTCAGAGATGTTCCACATCAACTTGAGCACAGAAACCCGAATATCTCAAGTGTTTCA